CCTTTAAGCAGAGTTTCAGTGAGAACGCCTTGTGAGCACCGCATGCTTGTCATCACTGCCACAACCAGTGCAATTAGTCACAGCCATAAACAGAGCCACACTTGTAGAGTCAGTAAGGATGGAGGGTGCTGGGGAGTGTATGGCAGGCATGCTTACAGCCTCAACATGGCAACCGAGTTGGGCCTCTCAAGACGTGTGCTAAAAGGACCACAACTGAGTCTAGTTGCAGACCTCCAGTCATTTATGAGGGGATGATGATAATGAGGCTGAGCAGCTGATCACTGATTCCCACTAGATGTCCCCAAAATGGCAGATTTGATTGTGTTAGCCCGTTATCAATACAGCACAGTTGGGTGAGGCCTCTAGCTGTAGATTACAGATTTTTCTAATCCTCCATGGGTAAGAGTGCAGCCTGAGGTCCCCAAATTAAAGCAGCTCTGAGATTCAGTCTTTTTATATCACAATTATTATCATCAATACTCCGGCTATTGCTGTTTTAGTTGGACTGTTTGAGCAGTATGAGTTCAGGGAAGTGAATCCCATTTTCTTTTGCACATACTATGAAGATTTAAGATTCAGTTTTAGATGAAACTGCACCACAAAACTCTGAAAAACTCTGGTGAACAGATGATCAACATTTGAAAGGATTTTTTTACCCAACGTATTTAAGTTTGGTTATTTTGTCTCAAAAAGGAGAAAATGACAAGCTGGAGTATTTACTGCAATTCATTCTGCAGTATATCATATGTTTGACAGTGATTTATGATCAGCCTAAAGTGATTCAGCACCGTTGTATTCATGACATAGAAGCTTCATTCAATCACTCACTTCCATTACTACTACAGTACTGCTACTACTATTGCTGTTACTAGTACTGCTACATTTCTCTATTACTACTATTAACTTGCTAAGTACTACTAAGTACAATATTGAGATATCTGCACTTTACTTGAGTATTTTCCTTTTCTGCTACTTCATAATTCGACTTCACTACATTTCAGTATTATACTCTTTACTCCACTATCTTTATTCGATATCTTTATTTACTAGTTACTTTTCATAATCAAATTAATAATCCAACATACACTATAATCATAAGACTTTGTTGATTCCTGATGGAAAATTTACAAGGTACTCAGCAGCATGTTAAGTCATTTACATTATGCTAGTTAAGATTAGCTCCACCTTTACATGTGATCAACACCATAATACATCAATAATTATAATCTAATAATATAATATACATTCAAGTGTAATGTGCCATTCTGCATAGTGAGTACTATTACCTTTGGTACTTCTAGTATATTTTGATCCTAATACTTCTGTATTTTCACTGAAGTAATATTTTTATGCAGGACTTAAAACTAGGTATTTTTACAGTGTGGTTAAGCTACACTGAATAAGAATCTGACTACTTCTTGTACCACTGCTGCATCTACAACTACTAATACAGCCACTAGTATGTTTACTATGATACCTAATAGTGACACAAACACTGCTAGTACTGCCACTATTCTAACTGCAGCTTATGAAAATTGCAACTGTTCTTAACTGAGAAATTACAGCATCCCTGAAAAGCGTAGGTCATAGTAGAGTTGATTGTTTCCATGGCTACAAAGGTCTGGTGAGTGTGCCACTGGGGGGGCCCTACGGGTTGTGTTCTAAGGTAGGAAGAAAGACGTGCACTGTGTTGTCATTTAGGACTTTTAAAATAGTGTATCAGACAAAGGAGATGAGGTGGATGTGAAGCAAACAAGTCTGCATGTTTATACAACTATACCACACAGATGGGTGAAACAACATGAAATGATATTTGATAAATGTGTTGGCTGAGTACTTTGCTGTGCACATGAACAGCACTGTGGTGAACTGAATTACAGTTCTCTTGGGGTATTTGGTCTTTCTTGTGATTTACTCGGCTGTAAATGTACACATCCAGCAGCGGGCGTGTGAGTGTGAGGTTCCGCGTATCTTAATAAACATCTTTGTACCTTATTTTTAGTCCCAATTCAATTAGTTTCCATAAACAACTCAGAGTTGTCACAGTCCAAATTGTTTCCTTATCTCTGAGGAAGACTTTCATTTTTGCACAAAGTCAGTTTCACTTCTTAGACTTTTTGTGGGCAAAATAATTATTTGACTGTCTGTTGATACAGTACAGGAGAAGAAAACAGTTTCCCCAGGTATTAACAGTGTGAAAGTTAAAGGTGATACATTTATGTCTGAAGATGGCTTTCCAATCATCATATGATGTCATCAAATCAAAGCTGTGCTCCCTAAAGACGTGGATGGCTGGTGAATACTTCTTTGCTTTGGATAGAACCTGATGAAACGCCCCTGCCCTGCGCAGACTGGATGGTCAGACAGATTATATAAAATATAAAACTGACATCAAGACACTTTACTATGATTGTCCTGACTTCATGGTCTGAGGCACCAAGAAAATTATACATCTCCCAAAGCTCCTGTCATATCACTGACAGTACAGAACATACTGTACCCTGTCAAATATGACCACATGACTATGTGCTGTTTCATTTAATGATGCTGCTTATATTGATTTTGTGTTACCCGGAATTTCACAAAAAAATTGTTTATTGTTTTATAGAAACCGTCATTAAGGTTCAGATACACCATTGGACCTCTGTGCTCTAATGTACAGTGCTGGCCCTTTCATACAGGACTTTCAGACTATGATTACAGGGCAAGGCTGCTGATAACCTGCACGGGTCATCTATTCCCATAAGAAGACCAAAACTAGCACTGCATTAGTGCACTTCTAAATACTTTACAGCTCCTCAGGTTGTATGGTGAGTTCAGCCCCAAACCCACTGGATTTTAAATGGAGCCCATTTGTTGGAGCCCATTTTCAGTAGCATGTCGAGACACATTCAGTGCTCCATAGTGAGCATTTACAACACTGGTATGGTGTTGTGGATGTACAGTAAGTAAACTACAGTGCCCATATTTATTATCATAAAGGAGCATGACACCCAGTGCAACACTGTGCCTCACATTTCATATGTGCTTTAACAGTTTTTGGACAAAAAGGATGGTCTATGGCAAAGAATACAACCAGCAATAGAGACAGTGCATGATAATAGGATCGATCTGCTGTTTGTTTAAAATGGGAATATGCTGACAATAACAAAACCAGAGACTATCTCCTTATACACCCTTTAAGATGTTGTCAATATCACAACAGTGAAGTGTTTCCTGCTGTTGCTTTATATCATATAAACACTTTAAATGTGTAAAACAAGCCCTGTTAAAATTAGATTTGATTCTTTTTAATTGCACTTTGCTCAGAATCATTAATGTAGAACAGCAGAATGTTGCATACATGTATATAAATGAAATACAGTATATAAAGTGTTTCATGTGAAAGCTGAAAATAATAATCGCTTCATATTAGCTTTCGCCATATTCTGCAGGCTGACGTCACTGTGTCTTTTTGTTTAGGAAGTATTTCTGTCTACAAGCAATGAAATTAAACTTTTGTGATCAGTAATAAACCCAATAAAGAAGTAGTCAGTGTGCTGGTGAGCTCGTTCTTCTGTCCTTTCCTACTTGAATTTAAGTTTTAGAGGTCTTATGCGCGTGTGTGCAACTTAGCACAAGTAGTCAAATAAGGGTCAAACTCGTCTATTATGCAGGAGAAGCGCGCACGTCCCCTGAACTGCTCTTACTACTGCTGAGTGTATGATGGAGCATGAAACGCGTCCTGTTCCCTACAGAGCTGACAAGCTGCAGTGTGCGGCCACTTCACAGAACTGAATACTGCACCGGCTGTCGCTGCTGTAGCCTAGAAACAGCAGTGGATCCACCTTCACTACTCTGTGCACTGGCCCCTGTGTGTTACCTGGCAAGATGGAGGACAGGCCTGGAACATTAGCCCCCCCTTAAAATGAAGTCAATCAACTCATTCAGTGTTATGATGATATAACACCAACAGACAAAACAAGACGAACTCAGTTTAGCCCTCTTCCCAGCTTGAAACAAATCTTTATGACGCAAATGAATCATCGTGAGTAGCGTCAAACTGATGTCATTTATGTTTCCTTTGGGGGGAAATAATAATAAATAATTGTATTTATAAAAACGGGACTGGTTTGTGCACACAGTTTTTTTTAGCATCCACAGTTCACCAGTCTTTCTTCATGTACTGTAACTGGTTGCAGAAACCAAGTGTTACTAAATCGATTTCAGAATGTGATGTAAATATAACACGAGGAATAAACCTCCACATACTAAATTAAATATAAAAACTGAAGTGGGATCAGTGCCAGTGACGTCAGATTTCAGCTGCTGAACTCTCTTCCTGGCTGCGGCTCAACTCGGAGGATCTGTCCCTTCAGCACCTCGCACTGCCCGGCGCTTCTCTTACTGCTCTGGATCAACACAAAGCTTCTTTCTACCACCTTTAAAACTGCGAGGATGTTCAGAAGCCCACAGTCGGTGCACTTTGTCAGACTTACAGGTGGATCCTGGTGATCCGCCGTAAAAAGTCCAAGTTGACTCATAGTGCAGCTGCACCAAAGGAAGTGCTGTGTGTTTTAATTGTCTTCGGATTGTCTTCCCCTGCACTCAAACGTGCCACGCTGCGCCACCCTTGCTTTTTATAAAAGTGATATTTAAAATTAGGAAACCGCATGTTACTAAGCAGTTTGGCCATCCCGGATCAACAACTCCATTCGGACCGCAGAGTGAATGCTGCAACATGTTGCTCAGCCTGTAAACTTTATCTAAAGGTTTGAAATTCAGTAGAAATGTTTGTGATGGGGTCAGATTGTCAGAGGCTGCTCTGAATATGAAGATGCGCTTCCGCGTAATTGTCGCCTACAGACCGTTCTATTACCTTGAAAATGGAATTGTCATCATAATAAACCATGTCCTGTTGCGCAGCAGTGATAACAGACACTGAGCGGCACCTGTAATGGTTATGAAGGCTCGGTTCTACTGGATTTAGAGACATGGGACTCTAATATACTTAGACTTACCTATGGTGGTAATAACCGTGATGGCAAAGTAAAATGACCCTGCAAATTTCCATTGCACCCCGGCTCTGTGGGGCTCTGCCTCCATGATGATGGTTTCCAGTTTGCGGTAATCATCCTCGCTGATGTTATACTTCCCCTGGAGACGCTTCTCCTCGGCTTCCAGGTACTCTTTTTCCCGCATCTCGAAGTCGGACTCCAGGGCGTCAAACACGGCGGCCCCGACGAGCAGGTATGTAAACGTGCAAATGATCAGGGACAAGGTCCGCACGTTTTGCCGCTTCATGGCCAACAGGAAACGGCGACCGAGGGGCTCATGTCCCCTCGGATTCCCCAGGAAGGCGCTGCAAGCGTGGGGAAAGCCGTGTGGACAGCGGCTGGAGGCGGAGGCACAGAAAGGTGCGCTCCGGTGACGGTGGCAGTGGTTGAAATCCCCCGCCTTGTGATGATCCCGGTGACAGACCCCCAGATCCTGCTCCTGGTTCGCGGAGAGACACAAGAGACTGCTCGATCGTCTGGACCAGGAGCCCTGCAGCCGAGAGACCCTGCGCAAGACCTGCCCAAACCAAGTCCTCCCGGTGCGCAGTGCCATCAACAAGCTGCTTCCAAATTCGCCTGTTGGTCTCAGTTCTCCCCAGCTGAACTATACTGATATAAATGAAAGCAGAACCGTTTTTCTCTCCTTCCTGTGGTGCTCCACTTACTTTGTGATGTGAATTTAAATGCCCTTTAACTGAGCATTTTCCCACCTCTCAAAGTTTCAGATAACCACCAGCATATTCGTAGTAACCTCGTCAGCCTTCGGGCTATTTTAAGCCATTCTCCATAAACAGAACAGACGAACCAGTTTACTGGCGTGAAATCCTTAAATCTCTCTGGCAAACAGCGGACATCTCGTCAGAAATCTGCTGAGTCGTCGATAAGACGGAAGGGTCACAGAGTACTGAAGAGGAAGACCAAGTTGGAAAATGTTACTCACACAATGCGCAGATTAGAACATCAGACATTTTCACAGCCCTGTGTCCTTTTTGAGTTGCTTTATTCCTGGATCAACTCACCACTTGTTACAAGAATAAAAATATCCCACGCACGCACCAAATGATTGTCAACAACAGGTTCCATCACAGAGAAGAGTTTCTTCCCGTGCGCATCTTTTTCGACAGTTTAGAGGCTCGACCAGAGGAGAGAGAACACACTTTAGTGCTGGAACAAACAACATTCATAGAAGGCTACAGCGCGCTCCGGGGCCGCAGTGGCATTCATGCTCCGATGCGCACATCCAGGCGCGCTCCACAGCCCCTCTCCTGAGCTGTCTGCTGATCAGTTGAGCTGGAAAAAAGAGTACACGTGCTTTCCCCTCGCGGTATGGGGGCCTCTGAGTTAACCATCCGTGTCACGAACTGCTATTATTTTGAAGGCACCACACACTCCAGACTCTAATCGGTGGGCGTTGCTCCTGCTGCCTCTGTGTGTGTGTGTGTGTGTGTGTGTGCTTTCTTCTGCTGCTTCTTCTTCTTCTTCTTCCAAGTGTCACGATTCATCCGAGTTCTTGCTCGAGTGTGTGCCTACTTTCCCTTAGGGAGAAAATCTGCAAGCGCTCAACAGACAGTATGTCCCCCTCATCACACCACACGACCCCTCCCACAGTGACCACTCCTACATTATATGGCCACAGAGGGTTTACTTAGACTCGGATGGACGCTTTAGTGGTTTTCACCTTCAGACAGCAGCGGGAAATGTGCGCCCCAGTCGGTGCGCTGTCCGTGGTGCTGAAACAAACAGGTCACTACCAACGCACTTTAAAGGGTCATATAAACACGTCGCATGTGCCAAGGAAAAATATATATATATATCTATCTAGATATATATAGATAGATAGATATATACACTTGTAGCAAAAAAGTTCAGATTTGGGAGTTTTTGAATTTTTACTTCTTACAATATTTAAACACAGAGTCGACCTGAAATTTATAGTTTGTGTGGGTTTATATTAGCATCCCAAAGAAGTCTGACTCATTCTGTTGTTCTTTTTATGCGTCTGCGATGGCGATACCCGCAGCCGGAGGCACCATGCTTTCGGGTTGTCTGTCCATCCGTCTGTCAGGCCCATTCTTGCAAATGCAATATGTCAGAAATGCCTTGAGGGAATTTCTTCAGATTTGGCACAAACGTCCACTTGGATTCAAGGATGAACTGATTAGATTGTGGTAGGTCAGTGCAGGTCAGTGCCCTCATGCCTGTGCCATTAGTGTGAATCTGACTGGCTGGAAGAGGCATGAAACCGTGAAGCGGTCATTCTAGTTTAGTTTCCAAATATTTGGGGGCATTTTGTGACTTTACTGGTAATAATCAGTTAAAAAGTAACAGAGTGACAGATCGACTTAAAATGATAGTTTCAGTTAGATTAGTAAAAATATCAATTTTCTAACATTTGCCTATTTTTTTAAAGTTAAGTCAAGGTTAAAATGTTTGGTGTGTATTTAAGTGGCACGTTTTCCTTAACACATTAGGTCAAAGTAAAAGGAGTCAAACAGGGTTTGGATCAAACCAAAGGTCAAACACAAAGGGTAAGAGACAAGGAGGTGGAGAGGGTCAATAGGAGGCTAGAGTTTCTTTTTGTCCTGGTACCCCCCTGAGAAGACAATCCAGCACTACAGAACCAGAAACAAGCTCTCATCATTATGTGTGTTGATATATCAACTGTTTTTACATGTTTGAAAGAATAAATACATCAAATCAAACTATTGCTGACAACAGGACAGTCTGCCAAATATGAAGAGCCATGCCACAAACCATTTCAAACATCCGAGTGCTGTCCAGCAAGGCAGTGCAGGGCCAGTGCTGTGTAACTGACACATGATCTTGGCATCTGAATCTGCTGGCATCGACAGACGACAATATCATGATGAGAGGTTCTCAAAAACGGGTTGAAATTGAAATTGAATGCTTCATTTTGCTAAACCTTGAGGTTACAGGTTCACTCGTGCACATTGAACAGCCATGACCGGTCACAAACTGAAGTATTCTGGGAATAAAGAATCATCTACACTTGATCACCTGCTGGTGACAGTCATGTGATATGATGGACCTCTCCAGAGCTATCACATGGACCTTGTGGTGAAACTAGTTTCTTAAATTTGAAGCATAGTTGTTTAAATCCAGAGGACCATTGGTGAAAACAAAATTGGAGGTTTTGGTCTCACAATTAATGTCTTAAATTTAATTTTCCAGTATTTAAATTTTAGAACAAAATCTGAAAATATGGTAATGAGTTGGGAAATTCTACAAAACTGAGGTAAAGTGCCTATAATTTGGGCCATTTACTTACAAGTTAGAGCGAAACACACTGTACAAGAACAGGAGGAAATGGCCAAGGAAGCCTCATTCTATAAACTTCCAGTGAAAACTGCAAATAACATCCAGTATAGCACAACCTTACACTATATATATAGTTAAAGTCAGAGAGTTCTCCCCATGGTCCCATCGACCCAATGCAAAATGTTCTGCTACTTTTCTCATTTTTACTGGGAAGCAAATGGAGAATAAATCCATAGAATCATGTCCCGGGCTGCTCCCTGCACCCAGATCAGTACATACAGGGATCAGGCCAAACCCTCAGCTGGGCATATTACTGTTTTGCAATGTTAATTTCACCTCCAAAAGCAGAGTATACATCCTGTGCTTTTTATATTAGTGCCTGGAACATAGCTACCAGTTCTCCAGTCTGATATTAAAGGGCTTTTAAGGGAATGGGCCAGAGTTGCTGATCTCTCCCACTGACAGCAGAAGAAACTGAAAGATGTTATTTTAATTGGGCTATTGAAGTTTTTCTCCCCTAAAGTACGAGTGAATTATCACTTTTTCTTAATCTTAGCTACGTCTCTATGTCCAACATTTAGGAAATGTCAAAGGAAATAAACAAACAATGTCTCCAGAGAGAACTGAGCGATTAAAAAAGCAACTGTGAAAGCTTTTGTACACTTGTGGATCTCTAATGTAGTGGTTTGACCTGTGTTGATGTCATTTCCTCCTCTGCAAGGCTTTTAGAGGTCTGACACAAAAGACTTGAAGGATTCTTTTTTCCTGTCTGACTAATTTTAGCTTTAAAATTAAACTCTCTATATTGCCCATCTTCACTACAAAAACACACTCACATGCACAGATGTAAACACACACACAAAACCAAAAATGTCTCAGTGAGAAGCTGAGTGCATCAGTCACAGTGTTTCATAAACCACAGCCATTTCAGCATCTAAATGGCTCCACTAATCAACAGCGTCTGGATCTGTACTCACTCTATATTTAGCTCATCAGTTCTCACATCTCAGCCCACCTACAGAACTTCTAATGCATTTCTGGAGAAGCTCAGAAAGAAGAGTTTAATAATGGCAACTGCTTAGATTAGTCTCCATGGTAATGACACCGAACTTACAGTACTATCACTGTGCTCATCGTGGAAGCCTGCACAGGCACAGAAAACTCTTTCCTGAAGGCTGCATGATGGCAGAATTCCTCTACATTTGATCCACACTGACAGCAGAAACATCAGACGTGAACAATTAGGAGTGATGAATGAGAGGATTTAGGGAGGATTAACGAGGTGACGGCTGAGCATGTCTCACTGGTCCAAACTAAAAATCCTCAGTCTGGAGATAAATGATCTCAGATTTGAGCCTATTGTTTTGCTTTTACTTACCCGAGTCTTCAGAAAACACTACTGGTTTTAAATGTGCGTCTTCACATTATTTCTACCAGCTGTTTCCTAGTCTCTGCTGTCCTCGGTCATTTTTCTTTCAGTCCTGTCCATTTTCAGAACACGGGCACCCTGATGCAGCCAGATGCCACTGAACAAATCTGCCTTGCGACGAAAGCAGTCATTGGTCAGGGGCTCATTTGAAACAGCTGGTATCATTTACAAAAACAGAAGCTGTACTGATGATCTCTGTTCTGCAGATGTTCATAGTTAGGGACCGACTTTCAGTTATATCTTTGTATTACCAGTAGAAAGTGTTCTTTTTCCTCGGCAGCTACAGTGTCTTGTAGTTCATATCCCTGTGGTCAAAGCCAAATCTGTCAGTGAGGACACAGAGGTCACGTTCTCAGTAAGATTAAACAAAAGTCGTTTGCTATTTCCTCACCAGAATTATTAGAATCAGAGAAATCATCATAAGGGAGATGAAACAAGTACAAAACATACCTGCACAGTTAAATAGGCAGTTTTTTTTTTTTGAGCATTCAACCACATCTTGTGGTCTTCATCAGCGGCTGGGGTTTGCTCAGTTGTCATCATGTGGTCCAAGCATGAAACTTTGATCACTCAGCTGTTTGTCCACTAGCTCCCAATGAATACACAATTAAATGTGCCAACTAACAGGTGATCATTCATATGGAAGCTCAGTATTCACGTTAAGTGATGATTACCAATTATTTGTCTCAAAGGGGGGGGGGGTATCAGACCATGTGGTCATAAATCTTCAGGGCTTCGTAATAAACCACACCACTTTAAGACCATAACCTAAAATACTCACACAATGATTTCATAGACACCATTACCTGGGACACCATTCTCCAGCCCTAACCTATCACACCCATGCACATATGAGAACATTTCTCCACTCTGACCTGAATACTAAGCATCTCTGAATCCTATTGCCTCCGTTCACGGTTCATGTCTGACAATCTCCCGCCTGGATTATCTTATTCATAGGCATCCATTGTTCAAAAACTATTACAAACACACCGAATGTTTCTTTCATTACAAAACACCAAGCCGGCATATTTGTTAGAATTGTTGCCCCAAATGTTCCAAACGACTGAAAGTTTTCACAGTCTGAAGTTAGTGAGTCACCAGTGTGTTTCACTGATGTGTTTTTAATGGTTTTTTGAATAAAACAGGCCTCTGGCTCTGCTGAATAAGATACTGTAATCCAGGTTGAAGACTGACAGCCAATAATTATGAGTAGTCAGTTCATTGTTGATTTTAGTCTTTGTTTGTGTTGGTTAGGTCAAAAACACACATTTTGCCCACCTTTAGGATTTGCTGTAATAAAGGTAAAAATTGTGACATGGAAGATTAGTGAAGACGGTGAAGTTTTTCCACTGACAAACTGATATGAAGTGTCTGAATAAGCTGCAGCCGCAAGGCCACGTTTTAGGGTTTAGGTTGGGTTTAATTCATATTCAGCAGCTCGTGTGCTGTGGCAGATAGTGTTTTAATGAAGTCAGAAAGTCACTGTGGATAAGTAAAGATGCAGTGGATGAGGATTCCTCTGTCAGGTTTTCTCTCTGCAGTGACGTGAGAGTGAAAGAGCAGTGCAGGTGTCACATTGCTCATCGTTCTTCACCACACAGCCTGATCGCCCCACTACCCCTTCATCACTCCACCACACAGATCAACTCCATAGCAAGGTTGCAGGTATATATGAATGGACGTGACTTACTGCTCATTTCTGAAAGAGAGGAGAAAGGGATTTAATTGAAGTCTGGCCTCTTTGAGATTCATTTGCATGAATGTTCTCGTGCAGTGTCACTGTACTGTCTTCAGCAGAGCTCCGGGGGATTTCTGTGCCACTAAATGAAAGGCTCTTGTTTGCTCTCAAACAACCCATTTTCCCAACTGCTGTAACGGTCTAATATCAGGCGGGGAGGAAGTGCATCAGTGCAGTTTGATGGATGATTGTTAGGCTGATTACAATCAGAATTACAAGTAGAATATGCTGTGAGGTAATGAAGGCTGGGGCTAATAATGCAGAGCTGATTATTTGATAAGAAACCTCATTTAAACTCAAAGACAGTACAGTGTGTTCTGGGTGTCATCAGTTCTCTGGAGGTCAGATTTGAGATGGAAAGGGTGTGGCAAGGTGTGGCAAAGAACCAAAACACACATCTCTGCCCTTGATGGCAGATTGTATTTCTACTAACTAACCTGTTACACAAAACTTTATAAGCAGAATACCCAGTTATGAGTCCTGCATTTCAAATTGTCCAACTGTGTGGACTGCTGTTCTTGGTGCTAGCTCCTGCAGGTTGCGTTTACAACCCTGCCCACACTATTTCCTGGCCACTCCACAAGACACAACAGACACATTCACTTCCTGTCACAAACAGACTCATCTCCTTCACTTCACTGCCGAGTTCAGTCTGGGTTAGAGGGGTGGGATCAACTCTCATTCAGGAAATAGTGATTGTTTAAATTCAAGTTTTATAACAGTAGGTGAAATATTCCAAGCAGCAGAGTAGGAGGGATGCTGTGTGGCTGCAGTTATGACAGAAACGGAGGTTAATGAACTGCTGCTGTTAAGCGCCTCACGCTTGTCACCACATTTATATGGTTAAAATAGGACAACTAAGGCTGGACAGAGTGTTTTCTTACTGTTGGCAACTGCTTTCATTGTTACATCCATGCAAGACCCAAGAATTTCATTAGAGCGAATAAGGTGAGGTTAGCACTGTTGTCTCACAGCGAGAAGGTTCCGGGTTCGAGGCCCAGCCAACCCGGGGCCTTTCTGTGTGGAGTTTGCATGTTCTCCCCGTGCTTGCATGGGTTCTCTCCGGGTACTCCGACTTCTTCCCACAGTCCAAAGACATGCAGCTTAGGTTGATTGGTGTCTCTAAATTGCCCATAGGAGTGCATGTGTGTGTGTGGTTGTTCGTCTCTATGTTAGCCCTGCGATGAATTGGCGACCTGTCCAGGGTGTACCCCGCCTCTCGCCCACAGTGGCCTGGGATTGGCTCCAGCCCCCCGTGACCCCGTTTGGGACTAAGCGGTTTGGAAAATGGATGGATGGATGAATAAGGTGAATCCATGTTTCAGTAAGTGAGGAGAGGACATTCTTAATTGCAGCCCCACTTTGTAATTTAGGCTGATAAGATGGAGTTGACCTTAACTGAAAAGGTTGCTACGGGTGTCAAAATCCAATGATCAAAATATGAGCTCTGCACCAGAGACGTTCATACAGACCATACTGAATGTTTTGCCAGCCCCGTACTAACAACAGTCCAGGGGTCCAATCAATTTTTCCAAACCCACACACGATAGATAAACACAATGAGCATATTTTTGAAATCTGTAGATTCACTACAAGCTGTTTTTCACTGAGGATCAAATGTGACTTTTATTTGAAAACTTTACTAGACTGGAAGAAAATATGTGTGATTTCTTATGCTCTGAAATCATAGATGCTTCAGATTTCAGAAATTCCTGCCATATTTTAAGAATAAAAACTTAAACTGAAAGACATTTACACAAAACAGCATTTTTTGCCATAGTGTCTATGTCAGTTATGCCAGTACTTTCCAAAAATACAAAGGTAAAGTGTTAGGTTCAGTAGTCAGGCAGTGTGAGTAAGTAGTCATCCTGTCATTAACACAAATCTCTGACATAATGGCAGGTCAGGAGTAGGGGACAAGCTGGTCTTAAAAGTGCTGGACCACCTCATGTTGAGTGTCTTTTGTTGTTTGTGTTGTTTTGTGTTTTGGATCACTGATAAAGCCCCTTTCAAACCCACATGAAACCTGTAGACTTCTTCACGCAGGCCTCCCTCTACCCTCCCAAGACAATGTAGCATTCAACAAGGCCAAGCTTTCCTCAGCATTTCCTTCTTGTTCAGTTCACATTTGGTCCATCAATCAGGGGAAGGAAGAGCAAGCACAGTGACAGTTTACAACACCGATTGTCTGTTAGCTACAGCTGGGGTCAGTAGTATCCTAAAAAGCTCACTCTTACTGGAAGACAAGTGAATAAGGTTCCCAGATGTACTCATAAAACGAGTACTGCTTTAGCCTGCAGGTGTTCTGGTCAACTCCCAGTGCACAAACACGCTCCAAAGCGGTGACAGGGCCCACTTTCATTTTGCTGTGACATTTTATGATCTGCTCTGTTTACTATATATATCAATGTCAATTCTATTCAATTACAGGCAGCAAACGTAAATGATCATCCAGATGTTAATACTTCTAGCTGTAACTACAAGACATCAGTGGACAGCAGCAAGTCATGTTTTCCAGAATAAATCACTGTTAAAAATGCTTATTAAGCAGCAAATCCTTCTCTGGTAATCACTCATTGTGTGTTTTGCAGCAGGTGAATGTCAGACTTCTCAAAATGCTGAAGGATAAAGTTCAGTAGACAGAAAATGAAGATGATCACAGAGCTAATAAACTTGAACAAAAGGCTGCCTTCTTTTAACATTTATTTACAACAATTACATGCAATTCAAATTCATCAGTGTGGTGGCACAAAGGCCAAAGACCTTTGTCCTTACAGCAGTTTCCAGTGTTCTTATAAAGCTCATCTCAACCATCAGTATGGACTCGGAGGTCTTCTTCTAATTCTCTTTCAACTGACTCACTATTATATACTGAAAAGTGTCAGTGCTGTTAGTGCCTACACAAGAGACTCACACAGCCAAATTCATTTGCATATCCTTGTGAAATGAAAGACTGGTGACATAGTTGCTGAGTGTGTGGTGTCTTGTGTTTGCTGCTAGCCAGTGAAATAACTGGCTAGCTATCATTTAGGGAACTGCCACTAACAAGCTAATCAGACAGTACGTCAACATGTTCAGTGCAATCCACTCCTGTCCAAGAACTGACTGCAAGCCATGCTGTATCTACTTTATGACGAAGTTAATACTCCAACAGTGTGGGTTTTATAGAAATGGATGCAGCCAGCTTGTTCCATTCTGGACTCAGGATCACTCAAAGATCACCACCATGGTTTGCTGTTGGTCAGTGGTCCATGTTTGTGTGTCAAAGTTAGGCCCAATGTGAAATCACTAGGCAGAAACCTTCCACCTTAAGTAAGTTAAAGTGTGGTGATTCCAATAAAATGAACCGTTTTCAGTGAAACTTTCCTGTTAACAGTGTTGGCGATACTGAGCTTTTGAGTTGTGTTCAGACAGGAAAATGAAGTGGAACCAGCCTCGCATTACTCGAGTGAATTAGTTGAATCGTCTGTGTAGTCACTTTATTTTCACCAGGCATCCAAATGTACCAACTGAACAGATGGTAGTTGTAACTTTATCAAGATAGCAACATGAGCCACTGTGCAGGAGTGTGTTGGTGTTGCTGTGTATTCAGTTCAAACGTGTAATGATATTAAACTCAGCAGTTAGTCCAGTTTTCTATGTCATTTCTCTCCAGTCTCTCTTAGTTTTCCTCATCTCTGTACATTTATGAAATAGGCTCATAAAGCTTAGGGACAGTTGTGTATCTTGACTCTGTATGTAGCCCTTCATTATCTAAAATCTACTTTGCGTTTTTTCTGGCCAAACCTGTACACTTTTTGACAGTAGGACAGTATTCAAATGTTTGGATGATAAGAATTGAAATCCTCTTGCAGCCTACTGTTCCCAGTTAACATTTGACAGTTTTCCAGTTCATAATGCTGTTGTATTTACAGACACTGAGAACAAAACCTTCCATCCTTCATTCAGAGCTATGACTCTGTGGCCCCAACCTGCAGCAGAGCATCCAGAGCTCTTATGTGGACACTAGGCAGGGTGAACCAAGCTAAGGGAAGTTCTCGTCCAGCACTGTCATCCTGAAACTTGATATTAAGGTAGAAATCTCCAGTGCAGAGGAAGAGCAGGGCACCTACACAGATGGAGCTTTCTTTGGGTTTAACCTGGTGATGGAAAAGAGACACAGCACAGAAAATCATTAGCCGCCACCTTTTAATTGCTTCATAATGAACCTGGCACACTGTCAGCCAGTGTGAAGCTGGGGGGGGATAAGTCGGAGGCTGACTGTGGCTTTGATGCCAAGGTACAGATGAGTGAAACATTCAGTTTTAGGATTCCTACTCAGCTGAGGGTTCTTTTTAATGTAAAAATTCCAGCTGTGACCTTTAAAGGACCACATCTGTGGCTTTAGCCTATTTTGCCAACGGTGTTTTGTGTAAATTTTATAGTATTTCCTGTGTGCTAGACAATGACTGGTTCCTCTTCTCTCAGGTAACAAGTAAGTTATGTAATTCACCAAAGTTAAAGTCATGCTGTGTATGTTAAAGTGTGTAGTGCAATATTTCAGGCTAAAATCATGATTACGAAGCCTAACTAAAGCAAATTCTACATCATGTTTTTGTAAGCTTATTGTGCTTTTAAAAATATATATTTATCTGTGCATGGAGCATAGTGTACTGGTAAATGTGTACTGGTATGAGACCCTGCTTTGACCACTATGGGTCACAGGTAAAACCATATGACTACAGTGTAACTTCTGCTGCTATTCCTACTGGTGGCAATGTTGTGACAACACTTTAAATTAAGTCACCCTCGTCAGCATTCATAAGCACCCGATACACATGTAATAAATGGTTAATTCTACACTAATATGGTTGTAACAGTACGTAATAATGACTCCTCATGTGGAGGAGGCGATAAAGTTGTAACAGTACATAATAATGACTCCTCATGTGGAGGAGGCTGCTGTATACAAAGATAGTGAATTAGACTATGGTAAAACAGCTCTGTATGAAGACATACATATTGAATTTAAAACACATAAAATGCCCTTATAGCTACCTATAATGACATTTTAGTGTGTATAGCATGCACTAAATGTCACCAGTCTTCCACTGTTTTGTCTAATCTACTGTACTTTTCCTTCCTGGCATTAAAACTGATCATCAGCTGCAAATGTTACTGAAAAAAAAATGTGATGCATCTGTATTAAAATGAGCACTTCACTAATTTCCCTCTTTTACTGCATTCAGTGCGTCGTCTGCTACTGTGAGCTGCTTGCATAAACAATGATTGCATTTTTTTTTGAGTGAACATGTACTATTTGAGTCTGTTCCTGTGACAACCTGAAGCATGCTGGTTACGTAACGGGACACAACTGTAGTAATGCCATGTAATGCTTTTTGTTGGGAAGTTAACATTAACATAGCCTAGTGCTCCAGCCTCGACTGACCGTGTCAATGTAGAAGGTGTTGGAGCCGATGAAGGTCACGGTGTCCTCCAGATCGTAGTTCTGGACTCCATTCTGGTAGTCCTGATAGGGCACTACGGTCAAAGCCAGGGGTCCCACAGAGTTCTTGCTCCGGTTGGTCAGTTTTACCTCCAGGGTCACAGCATCACCCACTTTACAGTCGGCAATGACATCACAGTCACATGGCTTCCCATTCACCAACACATCTGGGGGAAAAAACAACGAGGGGATTAGCAGGGCAAAAATAAACTGTGACAAAGAGACAAATCCAAGAATTATGATGTGAATGTGGTGCACAGTCATTCACAGGATTTTCATCCAATCTCCATTTCATTTTTACTCATCAAAACGTGACCTGACGATTAATGGCCTATCATAGTGTTTCTGGTGGAGGACCAACATGCTTTGTCCTAAAATACACTGTATTGGCAGCAGTGGAGAGAATAAACTGAACTCCATCCTGTTAATCTGGGGCATGATTCATTTATGTTAAAAAGGGATGAATGAGACTGTTGGAGCATTCCCACCGTGCCGCACACACAGAGGCCAGAAGTACACCACTCACATGGCTATAGCTCCCTCTCTCCTTTCACAACCGGCCACAAAACACTGAGTGAGATCAATTCAATCCCACTAATGTGTGGCCAGTCACTCTGGATGTGGCCCTGTTTGGCTGAGGTGCAGGGAGATACGGTGATTTGTTTTGAACAACAAGCTCAGTGGACTAAGCTCCCGCACACCCTGCTGCTGGGCCGAGGAGAAGACTAACTCCAAACATGGGCGATTCAGGGGTGCACAAAGAGATCACATAGTAATGACTCCTTCGAGAATAACCGAAGCACACACATAAACACACGCATGCACAAACTGGTTGTCATACGCTTTCAAGTGTCACGCACGCAGCTACGATAAACAACTGTGAGTCAGAGCGGTCGAGCCTGTGTGACAGGCTGATGAAAGAGCCGAGCTGTGTTTGGTGCTGCTGTTGTGCCAATCTGTTGCATACAACGAGGGCTGGTGGTCGAGGAGGGAGTGTGAAGACAGACAGACAGACGGGCAGGCAGGCAATCCAGCAGGAGGGAGGGCACAAGGGTGGGCGTGGGAGGCTGAGGCCGTGCTGTCTCTCTCAGTAAGAGAGCCCTGGGGAGGCTGTAGCTACGGGGGGTGACATTCAGCTTCACGTCTGTATTAAAACCACTTGACTCAACACAGACATCCAGTAGAACTCACTGAGGGGCTCAGAAGAGGTTTTCTCTTTACAGTATCACTGCTGCCACTAGCCTTTTAGTCAGTCAGTGTTATTCCTCTTCTGACTATATTAGCTGACATTATTTATTACACTACTTACAGTCTGCTGTTCTGATGTGATACTCAGCGCACGCCAAATTATGACTTAGTGGTATTACTGTTACGGCTGTCAACTACAGACCAGGGCGAGTTTTTTGCCATCTTTTGTGTAGTTAACTACTGAAACGACAAATAACTTTTGGAAATGAATGATTCTTTATTTTTATTTGTGAGCAGTTTGTCAGTGTCGGTAAGGACATTGTCAGTGTCAAACAGAACCAGCTGTTCGATAACAACTTTATGAGACGGCTCGAGTTATATAAACAGGAGATTCTGCTCTGACTGGTTAAAAGATAGGCCCATTATTCAGACCAGTGTTCAAGCTGTTCATACTGTCTGAAAAGGTACAGGCTGAGGGCTGTTGTAGTTAGTAAGACTATACAAGTCAGACGTTACAAAACTGGTCAGTAAGACAACAAGCTCTTTGTTTTAGAGTTGCTCAAGTCGGTCAAACAGTCTGAAAAGGTGCAAGTTAGATATTCTTTCTTTACTGTTTGAGTTTAGTCACCCTTCCAATATGAGGGATACAACAGATCTGTTTCAGATACTGAGGAACAAGAGTGGTTGGTTTCCTCAGATGTGAACTCTTTATGTTGTACAGTACAAACAAACCTAATGATGCGGGAACTGATGCTCTTTCATTACTTGGCTAAGAGACAATTTCTTTCTCCACCAACTGAGTATCTACTGGGGATGACCCAATTTATATTACTGAGAAATCAGCTTTTGTTTAACGACACTAGATGGCTTCAAAAGCTGGGGACAGCAATGGGGTCACCGTTTTCATATAACTATGTCATTATTTATGGGGAAGTTTGAAAATGATTTCATTTACCATGTGGATAATCCATTTAAGCAATCTATTCACAGGGGAGGAGGAGTTTGTATTTTATTAAAGTACAAGGATGGACAATAATCCTTGAGTATGGAAAAGATTCAAGATTCCATCAACTTTTTGGATGTGACACTGTATAAGACCTCAGGGAAATGACCACCAACAATATTTAGGAAACCAACTGAGCAAAATGATCTGTTACTGCTGTCCAGTCATAATGCTACTTCCTTTTAAAAGCGTTTGCCATACAGTCAGCTGTGCAGACTTAACAGAAATTGCAGGGATGAAAATTACTTCTTAAGAAAGTCGCCTGATTGGTTGGGCAGATTTGGTGTATGTCAATATCCTGAACATCGGTTTATAAAAGGTGTTGGATGTACTGAGAGAGGCTCTTTTTCAAAAACCACTGAGACAGGATCATTTTCAGGCTGTCAACTGCCTTGTTACATATAATCCTTTTTACAGTCCATTGTTTCTAAATACCGATTCTCCAATTTGTTTTGTTGTTAACTTGATGTTTATAGCTCAGATGGAGATCTCCAGATCGGACTGATTTAACTTTGTTACTGTTATAGGATTCAATGTATAAATTATGTGAATTAAATCTGAATTTCATGTTTTATGTTTAGTAAAACTGTGTACAAAATTTGACCTCTGGTAACAGATGGAGGTTTATGGGCACGTATAATTTCTGTGTTTCTCTGCTTGTAATGAATTGTGTAGATCACTTGCTTGATATAAAGTGACATGAAGCAGCACTAATTAGTGTTATCAGTTGCACCAGTACTGATCACACAGGTGGGTAGAAATACCTGAGTTGTGGTGTTAGCTCATTACACTGAAGAAGGCAGCTATGCTGAAACGTCTGTTTTCCTCAGCCATTTGATTTTTAAACCAAGAATAAAACATATTTTTGAGGTATCACTCAGAGCACAAAGGGCTGTTGTTATTTTAGTTTGATGAACTTTTGCTGAGTGCACCTGACAAGTACCTTGAGTGCACGCTTTTAGCTGTAGTGGTTCAATATCACTAAAAATCACTGCTGGGACTGAGAAGTTTGGCTTGTTTTATTTAATAATTATGCTGCTTAAAGTACAAAAAAGTATTGTTTTGGTTTTTCTTTGGTTGGTACAAAAACTACTGTGCTACTACTGAGGTACTGTATAGATCCCACTATAAAGAAAAATCAACCGACATCCAGCCATATACTGTACAGAAGCATCAAGATGACAATATTGTGACTACTGTGCATTTTTTATTCCATTAAAATAATAATAACAACATAATAATACAGCAATTCATAAAGTGTAAAGTCATACCCCGTGGCAGTAACATAGCAGCAGGAAACCTCTAAACAGCACTGGCATTTAAAGTCTATACAGCTGATAGTTTTCAATTCAATACAAACTCTATACAGTGGAACCTCGGTTTTCGTACGCCCTACTTTTCGTACGATTCGGTTTTCGATGACTTTTTTCGTCGAAATTTTGTCCAAGTTTTCGTACATCCGCTCGGTTTTGGTACAGTTGATTGGTCGGTTCAAAGTCGTTAGTCCGTATTAAACTCGTCCGCCTGCCTGCGTGACTCGGCCACTCATTTCCCTTAAGAAATGAGTGAAGGGAAGTAACCACAGATTGGGCCTTGATACATGAAGTCCTTATGGAGGGGGATTCCCCTTCCAAACAATAACCTCTCCTCCTCCCTCTCCCCTCCTCACTGCCTTCCATACACTAACAAGAGTCTTCAATAAAGGTAAAAGTGATGTTAAAGGTTCATTTATCCATTTCATTTGTCATTTATATTTATTTCTCATTGTTTTCTGTATGTAAAAATATAGTTATTCTCTAAAACATATTTTTTGTTAATATTTTTTGGGTGTCTGGAACGGATTAATTGGATTTACATTGTTTCTTATGGGAAATATTGCTTCAGTTTTCATACATTCGGTTTTTGTCAGACGTTTTTCGAACGGATTAATCACGAAAACCGAGGTTCCACCGTATATTGAACTAAATATCACATATACAGGAACTGTATATTTTGATGCACTTTCACTAAGTATATCCCTATATCACACCTTATTTTGCCAGGTAGTATATCTATGCCCACTGCTACTTGCAAAATACTGTAGGCCGTTCGGTTACTGCTTGACTTTTTCTTGATGTGTGAATCATGATTTTTGTAGTTTCAGAAAATGAAATCAACAGCAAAATGCAAATTGTGAATCATTTTCTCTTCTCAATTGCTGGCTTTGATACAATCCAGATGTAAAAAAAGAAACAAAAAAACATTAAGAACAAGGAACACAGAAATCAAAAGGGAGACAAACCAAATGAATGTGAATATCAACCGTGTGGAAGGTTCAGATTCTTTTGGACAGGTAAACCAATGCCTAAGATCCAATCACAGTGTCAGTCTGACCCCCTAAAGATGTGGTCTGACCAATCAGTTCTCCAAATGTGATGAATTCTGCTGGAACATACACCTGCAGTAACACCAGTCCTTCTTTTTCCAGATAATCAGAATAAGATATCCATAGTAATGCAAAGTGTAAATGAGGTCTTATTTTGGCTACATGCATGGATAAATATTATGTTTGGATAAAAATGGTGTTAGTCAAGTCTGTTTGACGACATGCCTTTCACCTGCAAATCATTTTTATTCATAGTGAGACAGGGTAGAGTAAGCTGGATCAGCCATGTGGCCACATGGGTAAACAGGGTTTCCTGCACTGTAATGTTACAACTGTAAATGTTGTCCTTTTTCATACAGTTCAAACATCACAGTAATTACATCGTGTAATTGTAAAGTGCATATGGAAACTTGTAGTGGATTTTTACCTCTGATGACCTCTGGTGATGATGCATTTAGATACCTGTGCATGCACGCACATATAAACGGCATCTTGTCATGGTCAGTAGTACAGTGTCTCTAGTGACACCTTAGCAAGTAGTTATATTTGGTTTGTTCAAAGTCCTGTTGCTAGGAGATGTACAAATTATAGGTAGCCTATATTGGCTCTAA